ATATATATACACACACACACAGACTGTTCTATAGCAATGTAGGTATCAGGGACATTAAGTCAAATAGACTGTTGGGAAAAGAACAACATGCAAAAATCTAATTCACATCTTTAGTCAACTCACCTGTACCGTTTCCAACTGCCTGCAAAGTGGCATCAGGCCCCAGGGTGTCAAAATCATCTTTTATTTCATCTGCACAGAAACAGAGAAGAAGGGGGTGCGGGGGAGAAGGAGGGGTGAGTACCTCAGTGTACCATCCAACCCAACAAATGCTGACAATGAGGCCTTTAAGAAGAAGGTATGGAGAAAGCAATAAAGGCACCGCTGTGCATTGCAGCGCGCCGCGGCTTTGTTCGGCATGCTTAATGAATGCTATCATCTGGGCCAGACAGTGACTTATTTACCTTTAACATGACAACAAGCGGCGGGGGAGGCAAAGAAAAGCTTCAATCGCCAAACAGAGCGATTAAATACAACACGGAGCACATCCACCTGAGCAATCATAGAGCTCCAGCCAACACGCAGGCTGAGCTTATTACTCCCTGGCTGTGACGCTGCTGCAATCCTCTGCATGCAGGATCACGCTTGTTTTATCATATGTCATTTGGTGGATGCTTTTATTCAAAGCTGCTTGGAGTATTGTGAGCGCACACATTTTTTTGATTTGCCACAACCCCCTAACAGAGTTGGTGCCTTGCTTGCTACTAACTGAAAAGAATACAACCCTTAACCACAAATTAAGAGTTTTTGTTGCACAAACATTTCTTAGGGGCAGAGCTGCTCTGGAGGCAGAAATAACCTCATTGGTCGGGGGAAACCTCAGTTGGGTGGAGACAAAGAATTAATGTTCTCTGGTAATTTAGTTAGACGGAAGCAGCATTTGAAAGATGAAATTGCTTGTTCAAACTGTCCTGGCTCCAGGAGAGCCACCTACGACGCCTGGAAGTCTTTTAAATCAACAAATCAATTCTTACTGGGTAAATTTAAGCGGTTTAATTTTGGACATATAAGACTCTGGATTTTTGGTTCCACCTACTGAGGTTTACATCAACCAATCAGTTTATTCCTGCCCCCTAGAGAAAACCTGGCTCGGAAAAATGTTTGAATAACTAACCCCCCAGGAGCATTGGTTCAAACAGTACAGGTTCTTACTGCCCATCAGGATAATGGCACCCAGTCTGTGCAGATATTGTCCTGGCACAGGTGAGGTGGCGGTAAATAACCGGTGGATTTGACAGGCTCATAAACAAACCCTCTTCTGACAAATGAATCCCCCCACGGTCGACAGGAGGACACTGACTGGACAATCAGCTTAAGGAGTCCCGGGTCCCTCCTTCCTGCTTCGTCGGTAAAAATTAAATCAAGGTGCTTCCGAGAACACGGGGGCTTTGTATTTTATAAAAAAAATGAACAAAAAACCTGCATTGTGTGCCTTACACGCATCTGTTCTTGCTCTGCTGCTCCTGCAAGGACGTTACAAGTGTTGCATTGTGAAGTTTTTTTTTTTAACCAGTCCACAGCAGGATCTGATGTATCTGACTCTCCCATGGCTATTAAACCAGGATGAGCGCCTACATAAGAGAAACCTGGCTAAGATATTACAGGAAAGGTGGTGGGTGTATTGTTGATAATAATGTTATCCTGGTTACATTACATTACACAAAAGCAAGAAGCAAAATGAATTTGTATTTTTAGTTAAAAACAATGGGCTTAATAGTTGTGGAATGCTTTGGAAGGCTTGCAATTCAGGGTTTTCTCTGAAATTAAAGATTTGGCTTCTGCGGTGAAATGATAAATACCCCTGTCAATGGCTTCTGAGAATAATGACAGACTCTAGACTCAGTCCTAGTTTAACTTTCCAGTTGCTGGGATTTTTTCTTTTCTTTTTTTCCTGTACATTTGATTGCACGTCTGCCAAACAGCATCAAAACCGCAGTCGCAGTATGAGAAAATAAATGGGTTTTAAACAACATAAATTAAGCTATGACAAGACAAAACAGATAAAAACAAACCTCCACCACAGATTAAAATATACCCACTGGTATCAGTATGTATGAAAACCTCCCCTTTTTCGCGCTGAACACGGTCAAAACTCCCTCACATTACTGTGTCCTCGTAGGCACCGTGTTTGCTTTGGGTAATCAAATTTGGCTGCATACTTTGGGTCTGACGCAAGGGGATGACCGGTGGGATTTACAGGCCCTCCACTCTCCCCTATTTACCTTGGAAAACTTTTGTTATCTGTGGTCTAAAGGGAGGGACGGCTGCTTCCAGTAGGAGGTAGGCTAATACCACGAACACCTCACTGCTACAGCCTCTGGCACACATACATGCATAAATCCATGCCAGTCTGAGCTACATTCAAGTGGGACAAAGTGTCATTGTGGTGACTAGGGTGCCTGGTCGTTCTATAGTAAAAAAAGGAACTGATGTAGCTGCTGCAGAGCCTCCTTTACACAGATTTTATAAGACATGTCCGATTTCATGGCTTTATCTCCTTTGAGGATCTCAAATTTCACAATGTCACAAGCAATGTAAAAAAAAAAAAAAACAAGGAAAAAAAGAGGGATTTGATTTCTTCAGAATCATTTATGCCACAAATATGTGCCTATTTTTGGTAGTGGAAAGCATGTTGAATTAAACTGTCCACTAACTGCTGGAAAAGTGTGTTTTGTCAGTAGTAAATCACAGGAGACCTGAGGCGGTAAGGTACACACCTCCCTGAAGAGCGATGTTGAGGTTCGAGAGTCGACTCTGGACGCAGGAGGAGTCCAGAATACCTTGGCCTGACCATAATTCCACCTATTTTCATAGCAGCTCTGATGCTGTTTATTTTGAAAACATTCCTATTTTTATGGCCAGTCACCGCAGTCGCAGGCGCTTTAAAGTTCTGCCTTTGTGCATTTAGCCTCATTCATCCTGAGTCTGTCTAGTACGCACACACTAGCTTCAGAGCCTCAGACACAAAACAAGATTGGATTAAAACAGGTTTTTAAAATCTGATACCATCTCTGATGTTTTTGGACTCATGTTGTCAATATCACATATTTTGTGTCAATGTTCCATCCCTTCAAATTTGAGCATTTTACAGCCAAAGAATACAGTGTTTTCCCTCTAGATTTTATTTTTGGCAGAGTGGAAAAGCATCTGAAACACTGCAATGATTGAACAACACGGGGAACTCCTGGATGCAGTAGGTGTTTAAATGACAAATTAATAACTCCAAAACTTGATAAATGTGCAAAGAAAACAAGAACCACTGTTTCATCAAAAACAGAAGGCCAAATCTGACAATAATGTGAAAAAAAATTTTTTTTTTTCAAATGATGTGTCTTGAGGATGGAGCAAACATGAGGAAAGAAGTTGGATTTCTACAGCCTGTGATTGCTGCAATGTTAAGTCAGAAATCCTCCTGATGCCCTAGAGAAGAGTTTAAAAAGGGCAAAGACAGAACGCAGGTGATTTATTTGAAAATGTCTGTCAGTGATAATGATGTCATGCTTTCCAGCACATCGCGTCCAGCCTCACTGTGGGATGAAGGAATGTCAAGGACAACGCCAGACACAAGACTCTGATTGTGCCCTGGAATCAGAAGAGGCTCTGCGATAAACTGTTTTTTTCACTTTCTTTCTTACACGCATTAGTTATGTCTCAGGCTGTGTTGCTCTCTGGTAGAAGACACATTTAAAGCATCACGATAAATAAAATGAGCCCTTAAAGTGTCTGTTTGTGTTTTTGGGGGGACATCTGTCCAATCTTTTGCGGGCTTTTACTGCAATTCCCAAACTTCTGAAGTCTACAGCCGCTTACATTCCCTCACACTTCCAAGACCTGTGTAAAAACTCTTGATAGGGGAGTGACGACCAAATCAGTCCGAGTAGAGAGGAGGAGGGGGGTGGGGGGTTGCTAACTTATCTCAGGCCTAAGTTATGTGCTGAGGTATCACTGTAGACACTTAGGCACCGAGGAAAAAAAACAGGCTGGGAAACACAGCACCCGCAAGATTGGGAAAGAGACTCCCAAACGCTCTAATGAACTTGACTTGCTCTCCGAAATATGTCAGACACTTTATCACACAAGAAGCATATTATCTGGGAATTGCAACATAGTCGAATTACAGACATTATGGCACCGCAGGTCTTTATCAAATAAACAATTACCGTATGCAACGACAGCTTGTTTATCCTTTATCTTGATTTATTTACCAAACTGTCTTTTCTTTCTCCCCCCTCCCTTAAGGAGCCAGTGTGAACTGTTATTTAGGAGAAGCAAATGTTGATACCCACTAAGTTTTTTTCATCCCTAATAAATGTGCAATTTTCCCCCATATTAAAATTTAAGACTGCTGAATGTTCCTCCGTTTTTCGGCACTGCGCACAGCTAGTTCATTAGCAGAAATGAATAGCGAGGCCCAGCTCATTTAAATTGGCTGTCTTACATGACTTCTCGCCATACTCTGTTCCTGTCACATGCTTCCAAGAATCATTGACTCTTATTATACATGTAAATGGCTATCATAAAAATAAAAATTTCATTTAAGATTGTTAATGACTTTTTGCAGCAGTCTGGCTTCCTTTAATGATTATACCCTGCCCCCTAATTAAAAGTATTTATCTTTCAAGCATCCGTGACTGGAGCCCCTGCAATTGGAGTTGCTCAACAAAAGATGATAAGTCAGTCAACTTTGGGAAGGCATCACCTGCCTGGGATTAAGCAGCTTGCTAGGGAGGAGGTATTACACGGCATCAGTCACTGTTGGAAGTAGCTGAAATACCATAAACACTGATACAGTTTGAATAAAAGTAACGTCACATCTCATATCTCCTGCAGGATGAAACATTGAATCATATCAACCACATTCTCACCTCACATTGTTTTCATTATCTGCAGCTCACAGGCTTTTTTTGTGAGGTTTTATACATTACTGTAAATATTTTTTGTTGTTTGGCTCTGAGCAGGACTTTTCTCTAAGCATGAACCAAATGGTCTCTGTCACACACAAAGAAACTGTTTATCATGTCTGTCTGCTGAGGGAGCATCGCTGGGGCTTCACCGTCAGACCTGGCTCAAGCAGTGTTTGCAAAACACTTTGTGGGGTTTGTTTAAGTCTACTCGGGCACCAGATGGGTGGGGTTTATGGCATAAGACGATACCACGAGTGGCAGGATGTGCACACATTCGCTATGAAGAATGTGAAAGTCAGCTTAGTGGTTGTTTTTGTGATTGACAGCTCACCTGAACCCCACACATCTGGTGTAGCGGGCAGATTGAAAGCTGTTTTTAATATAATTGTTGAACCAGATTTCTGAATACTATTGTAAACTAAGGTTAATTGGGCCACTTAATAGTTAACAATATGATATTTTACAATTTTATGATACCTTAATTCCATTTTCACCCCTATATTTTGTGCTTTTTTTTCTTTCTAAGGGTGCAGGTAATGTTTCTCAGACAGCAGATATATCATTTTGGAACATATCTGGACAACAGATTGCAGATTTGGTTCCACAAACATTTCATGAGGCAAAAAAATTATCTGAAAAATCTGGGCAGAGCCACAACTCTCAAAACTTGACTGAAACCCAAATTTAGAAAGAGAACAAATCACCCTTTTGCCCTTCAGCCAACTTATAGTTTTGAAATCTGTTCTTCTCTAACTCCTCCTCCTGAGGTTCACTTCAACCAATCACATTAAGTCTCTTCACCATCTGATTCGAGACACTCACCAGTACCGTCGACCGAGGCACTCAGCATGTCATTGTCGGGCCAGATGTGTTCCACGCCGCTGTCCCGCATCTCGTCGTCCTCCTCCTCCTTGGTCAGCAGGCTGTGGCTCTCGGCCCGCGGTGAGGCCTCTGGGTTAGTGAGGCTGGCTGGGCTGCCTGTGCCGTTGATCAGGGGGTCTTCCTCAGACACCGGCAACTTGTCCTCCTCCTCTGTCTCTGAGCCAGTCTCCACCACATTCTCGTAGTTCAGAGCTAAGACAGACAAAGAGAGAGACAAAGTCTGGTCAGTACAGGAGATTTTGGGAAAGGACAGCAGAGATATAATGTAGTGCCCATGTTATATATGACAGAGGGAAGGGGTGGACTCAACTGTTTTAGTGCAGCAATAATCTATATGATCAACTATTGATACTACTTTTATCCTTCTTGTCCAAGTTTCAGATTTTTGATATCACTTAACATTTCAGTCAGTAATGGCAGCTTGAAATGTTATTGATGAAGGAATGTAGGCGTATACTACTTTGGAAGAAGTGTCAGCTATGTGATTAAGCTCTAAACATAAATGACAGAGGAATCTCAAAAGGGATTTTGACTTGTTTTGGAAATTGAGGTTTATTCCCAGATTAAAAAGGTCACCCCACATCACTGCTCGGTCCAAGGCGTAGGCGCTTTTTTTCTTCTTTTTTTTTTTGTGGGTTACACCCCAATTACAGCATCCGCGACTGGAATCTGTGACTGAACCACAGCGGTGGGCAGACAGCTGTCGAGGAGATGCGAGCCAAAATAGCCACTAATTTTCAGTCCTGCTCACATGCCTCGGATGCCAACGAGCTGCACCTTTCAGGACGGCTCTCCTACGGCGCATACCCGTCACGTTTGAGATGCTCCACATAGCACATACAATATTACAAATGTCATTGCTATGCATACAAAAGGCTTAACCTATAGTAATTTAGATTATTCATCACGTGTATCCCTCGGATGTCTTCACATTTGCATTGCCAGTGAACCATGAACAGAAATATAAATGTTTCCTAACATATGAAAATATAGAGACACGTCAGGGCCTTGAGGCCTATTGAGTGCACACATTCAGGGAGGTAGGCTGACGTACATACCACACACACACACACACACACACTCAAAACTCCAGAGCAGCATCAGCAGGGCCCGCCCGGTCCCAGAACACTCAAGTCGCAGACATATGCCTGCTTTTCTTAAAATAGACGGCCTGTAAATAAGGGCTGTGAACTCAATCAAAGGTGGCTCACGTGCAAATTAGTCACCACCATCGGCAGGTTCTCAGCGCACACTCGCCGCAGCGTAAATTGTGGCAGAAAAGGACATCAGAAGACTTATTGGAGGAGTGCAGATGGAGCACTAGGCGAGCCAGAAGCATGGCATCACATGGGGACACACCTCATTGGCAGCTTGTACAGGAATGTTCTGCGGTAAGAGCCAATCATGGGAGGGCCCGGAGTTTGAGCCACCATAGTGAAGAGGTGGAGGCTTTTTTTAATGTGCTTTAGCTGAATTTATGTTTCTGAGTAATAAAAAAAGCTGCAGCAAGCTCGTAAGTCTTTGGTGAAAATCAACAGATTTATATCCAATAGCTTTGAGGTGCCATGGCATGTTACATTTTCACATAAATAGTGTATAATATGCAAAATGCCTCACATTGTGACCCTGAAAGGAATCAACAAGCTTAATTACGGCATTTTACTTGCCATATTTTGCCTACTGAGGCCTGAATGTGTCCATGCCTCTCGAACTTTCCCAGAATCAAGAGCGCCAACCAGATGAAGTTCATGCATGACATTTTTGAAGACATTATACATATCAAAAGATAAGCCTCCCCACACCTCCTCCTAACACGTCTCCGTGCGATTGACTGGTCTGCACTTGCCTTCAGCGAACAACTGCACAACAGGTGCAAATTAAAATGAAAACAGGGCTTTCAAACGTGGGAGGGGAGGCCGAGGGGGACGAGGGTGGCAAGGAGGCATGAGGGGGGAGGAGGCGGAGGAGGGTGGGAGTGCGGTGACCTGCCTCGAATACCAATCGACGGAAGAAACAAAACCTTTTCAAGAGGTGTGATCACAAGGGTTTAGGCAAGTTCAGACTCAGTAATGCTCCTTGGAGATGACAAAAAAGGCAACCGAGGCTGGAGACCGAGGACTGGAGAGAGACGTTAGGAATTCCTGGGTGGTCCACATCTACCTTGGTACAATTGATATTGTGCCTTTATTTGAAAAGCTATATGTGGATTTTGAAAGAGAAAGGCCTTTACCTGTTTAACATCTAGATGATTACGTAAAATCCCTTAAAAGATTATCAAACTTAGAAATCTCTCAGTTTGGCATCCCTTCAGTACAACAAAATGATCATTTTGGAATTCACTTCTCTCTGCCCCTTCACCCCTGAGGTTTTGAACCTTTCTCAGCAATGTCCCATCAGCTCTGTGTCCCCCAACTTCCAGGGGAGGGGGCAGCCGCACGGGCCTGGTAGAACAAAAGGCCAAGAGGCTTGGGAAGCTATCAACCCTTCGCTGTGAACCTGATCTCTGGATGCAGATTCAATGACGGCGGAGCAGGGGCTGGCTGAATGAAATTATCTAAGGCTGGACAGGTTTTAAAGGGCCTATTCTTCCCCAATAAAAGGAGCGAGGGAGCTTCTTTTTGTTTAGCAACACATCCACCGCAGCAACGCACACCGTTCTGACTTACTCCCACATAGGGAATGCAGCATTGTGGACCTTCAGCGCAAAAACTTTTCAGGATAAGATTGAAAATGTAGGTCCTAAGTAAATCCTAAAGCAGCAAAGTGGGGCTTTCATTTTTATTTTTGTCACCAGTTTGAACCATTTTCTGTCTCCTGCTGTTTTTTCTTATCTCTCGTGACGTCTTGTTCTCAAGTTTCTGAACACATTTCTGCGTGGGGGCGTTGAACTGTCTCTGAAAGCTACAGTAGACGCAATCTTCCCCAAACGTCAGCTGTCTCCTCCGCATTCAACGTATACCTCCAAGAAGGCAAAATGACAGTGGGGTGCTCGTCAAGTCAAACGCGTAGTATTAACGTCAAGAAAGCCGCCATTGTTTAGGTGCCACTGCTGACAAGAGCCTCTCCCTCTCTGAGCATGAAGCATCTATTGGTATTGTGTCACGCAACAAAGTAATTCTAACCTACTAATATTTTGCAGGCAGTTATTTCGTCCCCCCCCCCAGCCGAACCTCACTGTTAATCAGTCTTTTGTGTCGCTGAGGAGAGAGAAAGACAAAGAAAAGATAATGTTTACTTCTCAAATGCCTCTTCTCTTCTCTCCTTTTCTTACCTTAAGTGTCATCCTCGACAAAAGCAATTACGGCTGACGTTTTACAAACTCTTGCTACCTGTTTGATATTGCTTTCTTCTCCCCTCTCTTTTTTATTTCTCCCACCATTTAAGGTAAATAAAGGGAGCCTCTTTGGCTTGAGTTTTTCAGATAATTAAAATGACACATGTAACAGCGCAATTCTTGTTTAATATCGGGTTTTAAACTATCTGACATAACCCTTTCACGGGCCTGGCATTATTCTGTCACTCACAAAAAAGTACAGAGAGGAGAGGAATATTGTATATTGATTAGGGTGGCTACAAGCATCAAGCAGTGACAGCCTCAGAGAGAACCAGAGAGCAAGGGAAAAAGTCTTATTAAAATCTCATCATTTCTTTGATGAAGATAAATAAAGAAGGAAAAAAACAATGGCACAGGCAATACTTCAGCTGTGACAGTTGTATTCTGCAGATACTGAGAAGCCAGTGGAATTAATTTAGTGCCGGGAAACAAACTCCAAATCTAAAATGATTATATTTACAAAGCGTCAGGTTTGACAGTGAACAAATGGCTCCAGTGATCAAAAACGCCTTTAATGTTGGAGTCATAATCGACTCTTGCAAAACCCAGAGATAACTCACTTGGTGTGCGCTTTTGACAACAGTTGTCTGACCACATGCTGCATTCAAAGACACCCAAAGTCACTCGTAGGAATACAAGGCCACAAATTGTGCCTTTGATGTTGACCCCATGCAACCGTTCAGAAAAACTTTGTATGTACGGTATGTATTCATGGTACTTCTGTCAAGCTGAGAGAGCATCACACAAAATAAATGTCAGAAAATCTGCTTTTCTTCACGATTGTATTGAGTCTTTGATTTCTTTTAGGCCTTGGAGAGGTGATGACAACCTTATTTGGTCAAACGTGCCTGGTTAAAAGTTCAATATCATGCAAACCCACATTCATCCTTTTTTTTAAAAAATCATAATCAAGCAAAAACCAGGACATACATGTTGGACAACATCCGTAATTCACTTTATTTTAAGTGAAATAAAGCTGCAAGGTTGCACAGACTTGCAACCAGTCTGCAATGGATAGTTGATTTTTGACCGACTTTTGTCAAAGTTTCAAGGGTTTCAATACCCAGATATTAAGTAATGCAACCTCATTAAACCAAATGTTAAATTCTTAGCAGCCATAGGGTGAGGTACAGTAGAGTTTCAGGTATTTAGCTAGATTTCTATATAACAAAGAAAAGAGCAATTGGGGTGAATTGCTCATCTAAATTTCAACTTAAAAATCTTTCCTTCTACAGCTGTGAAAGCAAAGTTGAGAGGTGCTACACCTGCACTCTGCTGAGAAAAAACATTTCACAATGCTAACAAGTATAATCACATTTATTTAACGATCCCAAAGTAGTCGTCCAGTGCCCTGAGGAGGCTGCACTGAAAGCCTTCCTGCTTGAGTCTCAGAGCCAGAGAGAAAGAGAGCTCTTTCTGTTCAGCAGGCCAACGGTAGAGGTGATCGCTGCGGGGAGAATGACTAACACCCACATTCACGCTCTCACGCTAACCCCGGCTGACTTTTTAGTCGAGTGTCGAGGCTTAGCTCCAGGTGACACGCTCGGCCTCCTACGCCGATAATGAGCCGGGACATTCTCCCTATTGGACGATAACTGCTCACGCTCGCTCCCTGTCTCATGAATGTGAGCCAAGCGGATCACCTGGATGGCTGCGAGGGAGATGGGGAAGCAGGAGTGCTCTGTTAGTCAGTGTGTGCGTGTTTGTGTGTGTGTAGGAGGGCATTAAGGTGGAAGCGAGGTCGCTGCCTTGTGGCTAAAGCCAGCGGTAGCGGATTTTCATGATGACCTTTTGTCTGCCATTGTTCCTGTCTGCAACAGTTTAAGCACTTCCCCGGGTAAGTCATACTACAGTCTGATGAAAACCTCACACCAGAGTTTTTCAGCACAGTTGACTCATTTTTACATTAACTACTAATTCTTTTACATGTTTTGAAGGAGTCT